ATCCTCATGACAAACTATTATAAGCACTATTATCTGAGTTATCACACAGGAAGAAATAAAGGCATGGAGAAGTAATTTGCCCAAGATCACACAGCTGGTAAGAAAAGGTAACAGGAAATCAAGGGTTCTGACCCCTCAGCCCATGTCCACTCCACGTCACTGCCCACCACATACAAGCACGTGAACAGGCGGAGCAGAAACACTGTTCGGGTGTGAACCTACTATTTACCAAGCGCCTGCGATACGCCAGCAGAGAGAATAACAACAGCATAGAGAAGCCAGGCTCCCAGCTGAAGGAAACTTTTCTTTTTTGAAAGTAGATTTCGCAGAGGTTGAAAACAAAGTACCCAACTACAATATGATGTACTCATCTCAAGATAGTGAGACGACCTAAGTGCTAGGGGAGCCTGACGCAAAGAACATCTAACTTAAATAACAAATGTGGCTCTTAGAGGCACCAAGCTTATTTGTTTTAAATAGTCACAATATATTTATCGGCCATAGGATTATGTAAAACTTTAGACAAGCCTTTTCTTGAGAGTTTCTGGTCATCACTGGGACCACTGTGAAACACTGTGTTTTAGGAATGTGGGGTGCACCTATACAATAAATGCCTTAAACATTATTTTATTAAACCCTAACTGTGTACATTAATGCATTTGTGGGGTACAATGTGCTGATTTGATATACAATGTGGAATGCTTATGTCAAACTGGTTAACATAACCAACACCTCACTTAATTGTTGTGGTAAGACATTTATACTCTACCCTCGATAGTTTTGAAAGGCACCACTGCATTGTACACATTAGGTGAGGTCCCACCAAATATCGTTCCCCTCCTCTGAACCTCCACCCTCTCCCACCTCTTCCCTCCTTCTGGACTATAGTTGTGTTTCATCATGCGTATGAATGTGTAGGTGATTCTATATTGGTTTGGGTATACTAGATACTTTTTCTTCCATTCTTGAGATACTTTCCTAAGAATATGTTCCAGCTCCACCCATCCAGGTAAACATAAAAGATGTAAAAGCTCCATCTTTTATGGCTGTGTAGCATTCCATGGTATACGTATACCATGATTTGTTTATCCATTCATGAGTCAATGGGCATTTGGGTTCCTTCCATGACTTGGCAATTATGAATTGGACTGCAATAAACATTCTGGTGCAAATGTCTTTATTGTAAAATGGTTTTTGATCATCTGGGTAGATCACCTAGGAGAGAAATTGCAGGATCAAATGGCAGGTCTACTTCTGGTTTCTCATCTCCTTCCCAGACCTTCCTGCATGTAGTCCTTACCTTGGCAGTCACACCCTCTCCTAATCTACTAAGCTCCAGAAGACAGTTAATCAGGAACCACTAAGTTTTACATTGTAAAACAAGGTTCCTTCTGAGTCGAGTGCACTGGATTTATGTCAGTTTATCTCTTTTCCTTAATGTTCATTTAGGTACAATAAAAGGAAGTAGTTTACCATAAAAAGCAAATTCTGCCAGTTTCAAAATTTTACCCATGCCCAATCCCACTCTCTGTTCACTGTTCCCTGATGTTTTTCTTTGGGCGCATAAAGGTGTGAACAGGCATCCTTCTCAATGCTTGGAAAGAGAGAGAGAGATGAAATAGCTCAAACAGTGACTCCAAGGGTAATAACACCTAGCTCTAAGGAGCAGAGCCTACTACATGCCAACTGTGTGCTAAGAGCTTTGCAGGCACTATCTAATTAATCCTCACAAAACCCCTATAAAATACATTATTCTAATATCCATTTTATAAGAAAAACAAGGTCCAAGTTCACACAAAGACTTCCAGAACTAAAACTTGAATCACAGTCTACAAACTAGTTCGCTTTCAATCACATGCTTGAGACCAAAAAAATCAAGTATCTTTGGGGCCAACCAAGGAAAGTAAATGTGTGAAGTGGCTGATTTAAGAGAGCTGAGGCTCCCAGCCTGGCTGAACCCACCTAGGGGGCTTTAAAGACTGTTGAGGCCCAGATTCCATCCCCCATAGATTGTGCTTTAATTAATCCAGGAGCTGACCAGCTGATTCTAACGGGCACCATAGACCCGGAAACACTGTCTACAGATACAGAGAATAGGTGAGGCCCACTTGAAAGCAGTTAAAAAGTGTTTAGCAGTTACATAAACACCGTGCTGCCAAAGACCAATAGTGCCTCTGCCACCAGTCTGCGAGCTTGGACCTACTCCAGTCTGTGACCTTGGACCTACTCCTTAGCATAATTGAGGTGCTAGTATGGGAGATGGATAATTAGATAATAAAAGATAGACAGACAGGCAGACATCGACATTGTTTTTAGTGAGGGGGAGAAGGCTCTGACCTTTCTGCATACACCCCACCATCTCCCATTCATCAGGTCCTTCTACAGCAAAATGCACTTGGGCTTCTAAGTCACTACTTTCGATGGAGTATCTAGAGTATAACCCATTCTGAAAGGGAAGATGGCCTGAATATGCCACTTAACAAATAGATACATAGCACCATCAATTACAGGTCTAAAGTACCTAAATTTTTCCAGGAGTCATTTTCTTTCAAAGATGTCACTTGCAATGAACTCTTATCTTAATCCCAGTCAGGTCAAGAGATCCTACCTAACTAAACAAGGCTTAAGAATGCAGTCTAATCCCTTAAAAACCATGTATGCAGGTGGTACTTAGAGCTGCTGAGTAAAATGTCATGTCATCGGAAAAGAGAAGCAGAGGCTGCATACCACCGGAAAATGTTCTCTAAATGGCCTGCAGATGTGACATCCAAAATAAATGCTAGAGAATTCAACAGTGACTCCATTAAAAAAGAACCTTTTACATGCTTGTGAAATAATTCTTCATGCACAATCGCAGTGTGAGTGTTGCAGCTCTACAAACACAATGCAAGAGGAAACGGCAGAAGAGTGAATTAAGAAATGGACTTAAAGAACTTTAAACTCATTCAAACTGGAGAGAGCACTTTCCCTTCCCACTGCAAAGAAAGAAAACACTGCATTTTAACCAACCTGTATGACCCTTTCCCACCTCCCTCCCCCACCACTACCAGGAAAAGAACACAAATCAGATGAGCAAAGAAACTGAGCTTCACTTTCAAAATGGAATGCTGCAAATAAAGGCTCTGGTTCAGAATTCAGGGCCTCGGTCAACAAATTCCAGCAGAGGCAGTGGAGGCAAAGGTGCAGCTTGGATAAAGTATTTTGTTGTTGGTTTGTTTGGTTTTCAAAAAGCCGCGACACAGAAGCATAGCCTAAGAAAGCAGACCAAAAAAGTGCCAGGGATTAATTTTGTCACCATCCTTCAGAATGATTTCTGTTTGCTGTCTGAGTTAAGTATTGACACTCCTTGTGAGTGTTGGCCCGGTGTGGTTCTGAAGCCATACTGGTGAAAATGACAGTCCCTGCTGACCTTAAACTGTGAAACCCAGGCACACAGCCTCATGCAGTTCACTACACAGGGCTCTTCCAGCCACATTCCTGAAAACCCAGACCTGCCACACCATCAGTCTAACCGGCTGAACTTCACAGGGAAGCTGCCGGTATCTTTCAAATAAATAAGCATATACTTAAATATCCACCCTTATGCTAACAATAACTCATGGGCAAATCTCAACAAGTTTAAAGAAAACTTTTCTGAACCTAAGAGTGTTACCAAAACCGGTCTTCCCATTGCACCAAGTCAAGTCACATATTTTTATTGCCTGTGGCTAAGGCAGCGTCAGTAAGCTAAAAATACTTTTTTTCTAAGTTGGGAAGAGCAAATAAGAGCAAGCAATCAGCTGTGTATCATTTTCTCTCATTTTATTTTTTACTAAAAACACTAAGAATAGCATCTGTTTTATATTTGTATATGCATACACAAGCAGAAACATCTCTTCAGCTTGTATCTGCCGAGTACTATGAAATAAGCTATATTTGCATTATCAGCGAAAACCGTCAACATTTCACTAACAGCTTTTTATTGTAAGTTTTTCGCTGGGGAGAGAGCTGCAAATGTGTTGAAAACTAACCACAAGTACAAGTGAAAGCTTTCAAAAACTCCGTATAACATGACTGTGTCCGTAACATAACAAGACCACATGGTGCTACTTTCAGCCGTGCAGCATCTATGTTTCTGAAATTTACATTACATGAAATTCTAAAATAAAAGGACATAAGCTTTTAGGGTCGCCCACAGGTTGCTCAAGTTCGCTGTGTTTGGCAAAGCAAAAAATGGAGTTTCTCCTCCTTGACTTCCCCGGGGTAACTGCAAATTACACACACACACACACACAGAGAGAGAGAGAGAGAGAGAGCTCTGTGAGGAACTAAAAGCTGTCCAGGAAGACAAACCTTTTTTTAAAAAAATTAAAACACCTGCAAGATGGTGAACAATTTAGCACTATGGAGTCTTCCAACACATGCAGCACCTCTGAAGTCACCCCATTAAACCAACTGAAAAGGAGTAAGAAGCTTCCAGATCTAATTTCCATTCCATCGGGCCATTAGTTTGGGCTACTGGATCATGGCTTAATTTCTCCTCGAAAAATAGCACAGTTTGAGAAATCTCTGCCAAACTCCGTATTTTTTAGGAGAATGATAAAATCAACGGGAAAGACAATCGCCAAGGATCCCAGAGGACCGCGGCCTCGGGGATGGGCGGGCAGAAGCGGCGGAGGGAGGGCTGCTATTTTTCCCGAATTGCAGCTGGGCCTTTGACAAGTGCTCCGGTGAAGGACTTCGTGCACACCCCTCCCACCGACGCCCGGCGGGACGAGGGGCTGGAGCTGCAGATTTCAGACCCAACTGCAGGAGGAAGCGGGAGGGTGGGAATGTCATCAGCGCCCCTGACACTCGGGACGCGGGTGGGAGTCGGCAGTTCTATGGGGTTCACCTCTGAGGTCCCTGAAGGTCAGAGGTAGCACTCACAGTGCCAAGGGCTCACCAAAGCCACTTTTCCAGCCCGGGCGGAGGCGCAGGGAGAAGTTGGCGACCGGCTGCGCGCGGCGGGCGAACTGTACCTTGCAACTGGGCGGAGAGGGACTCCTGGTGCTGCTGGTACTTGAGCGCCACCGCCTCGGCTTTCCGCAGCTGCGTCTGCAGCTCGTAGTACAGCATCGCGCCGTAGAGGAAGCCGAACACCACGGTCAGCAGCAGCAGCGTCTGGAAGATCCGCTTCTGCTTTCGGGAGCACATCCCGTTTCCCATAGTCCCGCCTGGACCCGCGCCGCGGTCGTCCGCGCGTCTCCTCCCGCCTGGGCCCGCGCGAGCGCCTCAGCAGCGGCCGCCGCAGGAGGTGGCTGGACTCAGCATGGGGAGGGGACGCGAGACACAAAAGCCGGGCCGGAGGGGAAGTGGCTCCCGCTCAGCCGCCGCGCGCCGCGGGGCGCGCAGCCATCGACGCCGCCCGGGCAGCGGCCGCCAAACTTGGCCGAGGCTCGCTCCCCGCGAGTGCCGGAGCCCGCGAGGGGCCCCTCCGCATACTTCTGAGCCCGCTGCCCTCGCGCCCGTCCCCGGACGCCGCCTACCTTTTCCCCTCCTCCCTACTTTTCGGCCCCGCTGTCCCTGGCAGCTCTTGGATTCCCTCCCCCGCCGCTCCCCCTGCACGACTTTGTTGCCGCCTAAAGGAGGGAGTGCGCGCCCAACAAAGGGACCCGGACTCCGGGCGAGCCGCCCGCGCGCGGCCCGCCTGCTTAGTGGGTGGCTGGGGGCTGGTGGCCCCGGCTGGTTCGGGGGATCGGCGGGCCAGTGTCACTGATGGGGCTGCTCGAGCCTCGGCCGCCGCCACCTCCCACCCAACTTACGTGTCACCCACGGCCCCGCTATTCTGGCCAACGGGATTCCGGGAGGAAGTCCCACTCGGGCTCCCTGCTCATTGGGCCCGTCTGAGCTGCGGCTCCCTCCCTTCGGGGAGGAAGTGCCGGGCTCGATTGGACGCCCGCTTTGTCCGTCCGACCCCAGGGCCGCGCCTTCCCTCGCAGCGCCGGGTCAGACTGGGGGCTCCGTGGGCAGCGCGGCCGCCTGGCACCGGAGTGAGCCCACGTGGAGTCAGAGCGGGTGGGAAGTGACGGGGGGGAGGGGCGGGGAGCTTGGGGTGGACCTGGACGCATCCCGACCCGGGTGGTTGAGGTTCGGTGTGAGCGCGTTTGTTTGTGATGCGGCCCTCGGAACGCACGTGGACAGAGAACTACAATGTGTGTATGGACGAAAGCGTGGCCGGCACCCGCTCGTGCACTTCGCTACGCGCGCTTTCCCTATCCACGGGACGCGTGCGGCGGGCACACGGCGGAGCTGCACAGCTCAAGCGCCCCAGCCTGCCGGACTTGCCAGGTCGACCACTGTACCCCACTCAGTGTAACTGTCCTGATGCCTGTGTGCCCACGGGTGGACGGCGCAAGGCGGGGGTTGAAGTGCGCTGGACCTAATGTTCAGCCGTCCACGTGGGCTGGAGGAATCAGCTTGCCCTTGGCGGAAAAAAGAAAGAAATGATCTGACACCCACCCCCAAATAGAATAAAAACAAATTTTACAGGCTGAAATGAGTATGTATTCGTTTTGTCATATGTATTAGCTTTATTGGGGGCAAAAATACATCAGTAACATTTCAAAATCACATTTTCAAGGCCAAAAAAGTCACCCTATGTAAAAAATCAGTACAGTACAAAGAAAGTAATAACCAAGAACCTCTTCAAAGAAATCTGTACTGCATTGATTCTGTGTACTTGGGGAGGGGCTGGAGGTTACCTGTAAATGATTAGTTTGTTTCTGCTATTGACCTAAATTCTAAGGAAAGTAAATTTTTTCTCACATGCCTCAATAGTGTGGTGGAATTATTTACATACAGTGCAGTTTTTATGATATTCTAAGTAGATGTTAGTTGTCACCGTCAGTAACGGGCAAAATGAGGGGGGTAGACCAGCCAGGCCAGACACAACACAATGATAGTGCCTGGTGCACAACTTTTCAAGGAGGACTGAAGTTATAAAGTTGCTAACGCCATAAAATTTAGCAAATTTACACTCAAGCTAGCCTGTGAGATTTATGCCACTGTAAATTTTAGGTGTGCCTGGAATGTGCTTTACCTTACTAAATAATAACTTACACTTCATTTCAAACTGCTTTCATTTACAAATATGTATTACAACCGGGGTAAGTATTAAACTTGGTAAAGAAACCAAAGTGTATCAAAGTTACTGTGATAAACTAGGACCTTTGGGGCCTTGCAGAAAGCTAACTGCTCAGCAAGATGAGAATCCAGATCAGAATCTCGCTCTATCACTTTCTGATTGGTTTTTTAGAAACTCTCCGTCCATTTAAACAAGTTACATTAAGAAGTCGTATGGTCCATGAAAATGAGAAACTAATTTTTAAAAGAAAGCAACTTTTCTTTCTTTTGAGTAAGTTTTGGAGTAAGTGAGTAAGTTTTGGAGTTCTGTTCTGTTGTGTAAGTGCTACATAACCTTCCTTGCTAATTCAGTCTCCCTTTGAGAAGTTGAGACAGCGAAATTACTGGGGTCCTTTTAGAACTCCTCATAACTACAAAAACATCATTGTCAGTGTAAAATTTGCTAAAAACTCTTCTTCCCCGAATACTACCCCAACTGCTCTGGAGAAAATAAATTTTAGAGCAAGAATCCTGGCCTACACTTGAGTAAAAAATTACCTTAGAAAAGAAAAAGAAATTGTAAAGAAGGCTGGAGAATTATTGCTCATATATTATACTCTATACAGTATTCACATGTAGTTTAGGATCTTTGGGAAATTCTTACTCTTTCTGAATATATGATTACCCATTTTAAACCTCTGATTTCTTTGTATCTGATGCCAGACTCCAAAGGTATTCTTTGCCTGAAGCTGCTGGCTGACTCTACAGAATATAATAAATGTAGGCCATAAAACACAACTCAATATTTTAGTCATAAAATTTGAAAGAGAGCAAAAATTATTACCTGAACTTATCCATTATTTCAAATTCAGGAAGGGTATGTGAAGTACATAAAATCACTAATGGCAATGTCTTTATAATATTGCATTTCAAGGTGAAGTATGCTGCTAGTTTCTTGAAAATATCAGTATAGAGCTTCCAGCCAAAATGAGGAAGCTCTCCAGGGCCTGTAGAACTAAATTTACATAACATTGCCTTTAGGCAGAAATTGTAATATAAGAACTATTTATACTGGTCTTGGAAGGTCTGTTGTTGGTTCTATTTTATTTTATTATTTTTAAAATAGTATATAATCATATTCCTATATGCCATCTATTGAAATATATATATGATTAAAATCGTAAATCCTGAGAAAATGTTACCAATTTACTAATAGTATTTATTTGTAAGACAGGAAGAAATTAAAGAGGCTCAAAGTCAACGTTTGAGAAGGGCTAAGGTAACATTGGGAACCTGGGTAATTCTCTCCAACTTAAGTGAATTTGTCACACTCATCAAATTTATTCATTTCTAAAATAGAAGGCAAAAAATGTAAGGTTTAGAGAGACAGCTGATGTCTAATTTATAAAAATGAGTTGGTTCTAATTTAACAATGTTTAAGATCCTAGAGTAAATAATTATCGTTTTCAGAAATATTTTATTCAGACTTCATGACTACAAATGGAACTCAATATTTTTTAGTTTGTAGAGAAATAAACACCTAAGAATAAATGGAATAACAAAATTCAGAAAGGTTTTTCAGTCTTAATAAACCACATTTTAAAACTTTTCCTGTGATAATTGCAGAGATTATCCTTTACCCCCCATCAGGTCCTCACTCTCCGTCACTTGGCCTTTTGCTGTCTCTCCTGTTGGCTGCCATCTGATTACCACACTTGTTTTCTTGCTTGTCACGTCGACCCGTCTGGAAGGGCAAAGGAAGATTCATTCAAGGCAGGATTTTGTGAGAGAGATTTTCCTAAGATTTCGTCAGTGACCTGATAGAAATTGTTAACAGATTAACAACGTATGAAAAAGGCCTGTGGCTGACGGCATAGCAGAGTAATTGAGCCCCACCCCTCCCATCCTGGGGCCTCCCTTGCATGGCTTATACACACTAAACTGTCACCTGTGCAACTTTCAACTATTTAAGGAGTGAGAGGAGGGCAAAGGGAGGACATGATTAGTTCTTGTTTGTAAAATGCTTTCAGTGAGGGAAACTTCATCATAAACATCACCAATAAATACCTTTGGAAAATAGACTCCTTTTGATAACAGAGGAAGTCGTGTAGAAGGCCCTATTTGCTGCAAGATGTGTAGCTAGAAGCAGGAACTACCATTTCAACCCCTTTTAACAATATTCTAAAGAAAGACATGTAGCATACCCTAAATTCCTCCAAATTCTTTTTTTTTTTTTTTTTT